TGTGTCCACCAAAAAACTGTTTAAACACCATGAAACAGTTTCAACCTATTAACAGCAAAGACCTGGAGGACATCTTAGGTCAACTGAACTCCTCCTCCTGCTGTTTAGATGTCCTGCCAACAAGTTTTTTCAAAAAGGTCTCAAAGACTTTAGAGTCAGACCTGTTACAGATCGCCAACTTTTCTTTATTATCAGGTGTGTTTCCAGAATCACTAAAAACTGCTGTAATCAAACCTATACTGAAAAAGGACAATCTTGACAAGACACAAATGAACAACTACAGGCCGATCTCAAATCTCCCGTTTTTAAGTAAGATCATTGAAAAAGCAGTTTCTCAACAGCTCAGTTACTTCTTAAAACAGAATAATTGCTACGATGCCTTCCAGTCAGGTTTTAGACAGAACCACAGCACTGAAACCGCTCTGACCAAAGTGTTTAATGACATATGTCTGAATACAGACAGTGGAAAAATGTCAGTCCTAGTTTTACTGGATCTCAGTGCAGCATTTGATACAGTTGACCACAACATATTACTCAAACGACTGGAGAACTGGACAGGTCTTTCAGGAACTGTACTAAACTGGTTCAAAACATACGTAGAAAACAGGAAATACTTTGTATCAATAGGTAACTTCACATCTGAGCAGACAAGTATCACATGTGGAGTTCCCCAAGGTTCCATCTTGGGACCCCTTCTGTTTAACATCTACATGCTCCCACTGGCACAGATTATAAAGAACAAAAAAATAAACTATCACAGCTGCACAGATGACACACAAATATATATCACAATGTCACCAGGAGACCGAGGCCCTGTACAGGCTCTTGGTAAATGCATTGAGGAAATTAATGACTGGTTGTGCCACAATTTTCTCCAGCTAAACAAAAACAAACTGAGGTAATAGTCTTTGGAGCCAAAGAAAAACGATTACAGGTCACCAGAGAACTTCAATCTATACATCTAAAAACCACAAACCAGGCGAGAAATTTGGGTGTAGTGATGGATGCAGACCTAAACTTAGAAAAACACATTAAGACAATAACAAAGTCAGCTTACTATCACCTCAAGAATATTTCAAGGATAAAAGATCTGATGTCTCAACAGGACCTGGAAAAACTAGTCCATGCATTCATCTTTAGTAGGCTTGATTACTGTAACAGCATCTTTACAGGTCTACCTAAAAAATCAGTCAGACAACTACAGCTCATTCAGAACTCTGCTGCTCGAGTCCTCACTAAGACCAAAAAAGTGGACCACATCAGTCCAGCTCTGAGGTCTTTACACTGGCTGCCTGTCCGTCAGAGGATAGACTTTAAAGTTCTGATGCTGGTCTATAAAGCTCTGAATGGTTTAGGACCAAAATACATCAGTGACCTCCTGACCCAGTATGAACCTTCCAGATCCCTCAGGTCATCTGGATCCGGTCTTTTATCAGTTCCCAGAGTCAGAACCAGACACGGAGAAGCTGCATTCAGCTTTTATGCTCCTTATATCTGGAACAAACTCCCAGAAAGCCTCAGATCAGCTGAAACACTCAGTTTATTTAAATCCAGGTTGAAGACTCACCTGTTCTCAGCTGCATTTGAATAAAGCACCAAATCCACACTTTAAGCTTAAATTTCAAAACTTACATTTTAACTACTGATTTTATCTACTGTTCTGATTTTATCTGTTTTGATTTTATATACTGTTTTGTTTGTTTGTTTGTTAATTAGTTTGTTTGTTTGTTTGCTTGTTTTAATCAATTTTAAATCATGCTTTTTATTTGTTTTTGTTTCTAATGTCTCTGTAAAGCACTTTGAATCACCTTGTTGTTGAATTGTGCTATACAAATAAACTTGCCTTGCCTTGCCTTATTACCCACCAGTCTACCGCTGTTTACAGCGCTGTCGGCTGCTGTCTTTTTCTTTTCTTTTTCTTTTTCACTTAAATGACCTTGGACAAGAAAGCCTATTTTTTCTGTTGTTCAGTACTGAAGAAATTTAAACTTTATATGCAGAACATTGTAGAATATTTTTAAGGTTATCTGCTATAAAAAGCCAGACCAGGAAAATCTCCTTCATGTTTTTCTGTGTTTTATTCTCAGTTACTTTCACACAAAGGCATCTGCTGTGATGTTCACAATTCTGATGAAGTCAGTACTGATAAATGATCAGAATTATAATATTTCTGACTGTCTGAGGCTAAGTTGAATCGAATCGGGACTTTGAAAACTGGAATCGAATGGATTATAGAAATCAGTGATGATACCCAGCCCTAGTGAGCAGCCTAGGCACGACAGAAGTGGATGTAGCTGTAATAGGAAAAGAACTATTGCTAACTTTTCTGTTAAGGCCTGATGCTTCTGAAATTCATAGCCAGCTCTGACACGGTGTCATCAATCTTTGAATGCTGAAAAACCACAGTGTATCCAGAAAAACACATTATATTAATTATTATAAAATTTGTGTGCACCTAACTTTTGTGCTGGTACGCCTAACTTTTTAAAGTTAGGCGTACCGGCACGCCCATGGCAAAAAGTTAGTCTAGAGCCCTGTCAAGACAGTTTTACTTTACTGGTTTTAGTTTTTATGCTAATAATCTGGTGTAACTAATGTCACTAGTTATATTATTCAATATAATACAATACAATACAACTTTATTTATATAGCACATTTAAAACCGAAGGTACACCAAAGTGCTTCACAACAAGATTAAAACATAAGATAAAAGATAAAAGGCTATAACAGAGTACAAAAACCCAAAAAGGTACAGACAAAATAAGAAATGAAACATTAGAGTACAGTTTAGAAGATAAAATTACAGGGTATTCATAAATATAAGGTGGGGGTATTTATACAGCGGAACATTAGTAGAAGATAAATAACATAAGGGTAAAATATAGGGGATGTGCACTAACTGAAAATGTTCGGTCAAACAGGTAAGTTTTTAACTGAGATTTAAATGAATAGATGGAATCAGAGGCGTGAATAGCAGTCTGTTACTGTTACTGTCTTGGAGTGACTGTAACCCACATCATTTCCTTAGGAATTATTAAAGTATTCTGATTCTGATTTATTATTTCATGAAAAATGAGCTCATTTTCAACTTGATTTCATGTTTCAACATTTCTCAAACATTTTGGACAAAGAGCAACAAAAGGCTGGAAACTGAGTGCCTAAAAGAAAAAGCTGGATGAACGTGTGGCATCTGACTGGGTTATTTAGCAGTAGGCCACTAATATACCCGCGCAGAAGAAGAGCATCTTATAGAATACGTTTCTCAGAAGCAAAGATGGGCAGCAGTTCAACAGTCTGTGAACAAATTGTGCAACAATTACAGAATAAATCTCCTTGAGATAAAATTGTGAAGACTTTGAATATCATCTAGAGTACATATCATCAAAAGATCCTGATAGTCTGGAGGAATCTTTGTGCACAAGGGACCAGGACAAAAAATAATATTGAATGTCCGCGATCTCTGAGCGTTAATCCATCAAAAACGGGCATGACTGTGTCATGGAAATCACTGCAAGGGCTCAGGAACACTTAAAGACATCAATGTCTGTCTGAATGCAGCTCCTCATGCTGTACATAAATGTGGGTTAACGGCATGGTGACTTCCATGAAGAAGCAAGTACGTTACAAAGAAGCCACAGGTAAAAATGATCCAGAAACCATCCAGCTTGTTTTCAGGGCTCAGCTACAAAGCCTGTCTGGATCAACAGCATCAATGCTCAGGTGCATATACAGGTGTTAGAGCAGCATATGTTCCTTCAGACATCTTTCTCAGGTATGGCCTTGCATATTTCAACAAGACAGTCCTACACTGCATACTGCAACTATTACAACAGCATGACTTCACAGAAGACCCAGGACTGCAGCTAGAATCTCATGTTGGACAATCTTAAAACCTTACGTTTTTCTCAGTTTAAACATTTGATGTTTTCTGTGCTCTATTGTGAATACAATGTGTTGACCCATGAACCGTTTTTTATTCACATTTAGAGTGTCCCAGCCTTTTTGAAACCGAGCTTGTACTTGGCTTTTTTCACAGCTTTCACTGCAGCAGAAAGTTGCAGCTTGCAATCTTGTGTAGTAAAAATCCTGTTTGCTTTTAGTTTTTTTTTTCTTTTTTTTTATTGCTCTCCTCCGAATTGAGAGCTGCAAATGCTGGTTTAACAACTTGGTCACAACATCCCAGTGGGGAAAAATCCTAAGTGCTACGTGCCACATTCACTTTAAAACACCTGTAGTTGCTCCGTTAGGGGATAGCAGTAACATGATTTGAAAGAAGCTGCAGCAAAAAAAACCCTTTACCTTAAAACTGATGGGATGAAAGAACTTCAATTCCGTTTTATTTGTACAGTACCAGATGACAACAACAGTTACTTCAAGGTGCTTTATATTGTAAGGTAAACCCACAATAATACATACAGAGAAAAACCCAACAATCATATGACCCCCTATGAGCAAGCACTTTGGCGACAGTGGGAAGGAAAAACTCCCTTTTAACAGGAAGAAACCTCCGGCAGAACCAGGCTCAGGGAGGGGCGGGGCCATCTGCTGTGATTGGTTGGGGTGAGAGAAGGAAGACAGGATAAAGACATGCTGTGGAAGAGAGACAGAGGTTAATAACAGATATGATTCAATGCAGAGAGGTCTGTTAACACATAGTGAGTGAGAAAGGTGACTGGAAAGGAAAAACCCAGTGCATCATGGGAATCCCCCGGCAGCCTACGTCTATTGCAGCATAACTACGGGAGGATCCAGGGTCACCTGGTCCAGCTCTAACTATATGCTTTAGCAAAAAGGAAAGTTTGAAGCCTAATCTTGAAAGTAGAGATAGTGTCTGTCTCCTGAATCCAAACTGGAAGCTGGTTCCACAGAAGAGGGGCCTGAAAACTGAAGGCTCTGCCTCCCATTCTACTTTTAAATACTCTAGGAACAACAAGTAGGCCTGAAGAGCGAGAGCGAAGTGCTCTAATAGGGTGATATGGTCCTACAAGGTCATTAAGATAAGATGGGGCCTGATTATTTAAGACCTTGTATGTGAGGAGCAGGATTTTGAATTCTGGATTTAACAGGAAGCCAGTATAATCACAACTGACATGTGCTGGTGTGGTAATAATTACTCAGCTCTTGTGCACATGCTGCTATTCAGTGCTTCCCAGATCCTAATGTATTTGGCTACATTAGCTAATGGACAGTAACAATTATGTGCAAATGACTGTGTCTGAATGCTGAATGCTTAACAAAGCCATTCACTCCAGAAGCCTCTACTCTCGTTGCTTTGGTTGGCAGTGTGGAGACAGCTTGCAGAGACCAGTTGAGCAAATGACAACAAGACCCAATGTCTGGCACAAAAGTTCTAAATTATGATCTCATTTTTCACATCTACACCTTTTTGCAGCTCTGTAATTTTCTACTTTCCTGTACTTTTGCCACAGAGCGCAGGAGGTCCTGCCTGCTAGCTTTATGAGCTGTTAGAAACCTAGAGGCCATCTTGTAAACGACCAATTAAATAAGAGGAGATCATGAGGGACTGCATACCTGCCCTGAAGGAACAATAAAAGCTAAGGAGAGGGGAGGGATATGGAGCTATACATCAGGCTTTGCTGAGGATAATTGCAACTGGAGGATTTCGGGAGGGATGCGAAAGTCCAGATCCCAGTTCTATGTTTTTAATATACAAGGTCTCCTGTGAAGAATGGGATTGTCAGTGATATGTGTAGAGAGGACAGTGTGCATAAATGAGATGACAGCAAAGATGTTACTTTTGCTTTGCCTTATATTTATAACACGGGAATGGTAATGTTATATAATTTGGTGTCCAGCACAGGGCAAGGCAGTCAGTGGTTGTTCTGCACATATTGCTTGGTATGCATGTAGATACATGTGGCATACAGAGCAGGCAGCACAGACAAAAAGAAAAGCAGAGTAGTGTTGATTCAAAGGAACATGGAGCGATGGCCCCTGCACATCTGCACATAAGGAGCGCCCAGGAGACTGCAATTCATCGTCTTCTTCCTCTATGACACACACCCAGCTGTATGCAGTAACAGCAACCTTACTAAATCTAAGTGGAGTCGCAGGGTTGCCTTGTCCACACAATCCATTCAGTCCATTGATCAAAGGATGATGTGACGAGAGTGGAAGATGTGTGGGGGCTTGGTCACCCTCCTCATAAATACTGGGCACACTATGAAAGAGTTGACTGGACACCAGAAGAAGGGGGCATCCCTGTATTCATTACAAGATGATACTGCATTCACCAGGAGAAGCACAACAAACAATTCTTCCTTCAATAATCTTTTTGTTAACTTGGATCTTATTGTCATAGGTTTGGTCACCATTTTTAGTCATGACAAAAACACTAACCAAATGATCAGACAGACTAGTTACTAAATTAGTAGCACTTTGCTTTCATACACAATCATTTAACAAATATCTTATAGTCCCAAGCAGCCATTGCTAAATGTTAATGTGGATTAACGTGGGTTATAAACCACTATTAAATGTTTGTGAACTGCTCTAAAAGGTAAATAACGAGACATCAAACCTTAATGAAGACACATGTAATTAAAATGTTATGTTTTGCATTTTATGGAGTAGCTAAAATAACAGAAAATGAGTCAACAGTCATCAGCTGCAGGATCGGGTGTTGGCTCTTTGTTGCAGTTTTTTAACATTAAAGGTCCATTTTGAAGCTATCAGTGATGGGCTTAATGTAACACACTAGAACAGCAAACATGAAGTACAGGCTGACACTGCTGGTCTTCTGATGTTTGGCACAATGTTATCATGACCGATTCTGTAGGAAATGGGTATACACCTATCTACACACACACACACACACACACACGAGAATAAGATCCAAGTTGTTTTAAATCAGAATAACCATTTGTTACTACTTATGCATATAAAACCAACAATGACATCACTTGCATAAGAATTGAGATGCAACATATTGCATATTGTACATCACTGTCATGCATTGCATTTGGAATAGGGAAAAAAGTCCCATGTTCATACACTGGTTGCATTTCTCTTTATGGACTCCGGAGTCCGAGTAGTTTGGTTCTGAACTGACTGCACAGTGTAAACAGTCTCTCTCCTTTTACTGTGTGCATGCTGTGTTCCAGAAACAGGCAAACACATTTTGGCAACATACAAGTTGATTTATTGCAATGCTGCCAACCCAAACAGCAGAAGTAAACACTGTGATCCCCTCAGCTGCATCAGTGTAGGGGATGTATATTGTTCATCTCCTTGAATGATAGAAAACATCTGCCACATCCAGCCAAGCAAACGCTGTGTATCAATACTCCACTGAAGCTTGGGAAAGAGCTCATAGAAATGCCGTACTCCAAATATTCCTGGGCTCGGTTATTCTCTGCCCTGCACAGAAGTGAAAACTAAAATCAAATCGAGATATAATTATTCCATTCTGGGTTTGCAGCCATCACTGGAAAGGCCCAGATCCAAAACTTGTATCCCCCTGAGAGCACTGGTGCTCCAACTGGTCCAGCAGTTTTTCCACCGAGTCTTCTTTGTTCTCCAGTTTCAGGTATCGTCTGCCGTTGCCCAGATCTAGCCGAGGCCAGCTTTGGTGAGTCTGCTCTGCAGAATCGGCAACCTGTCCAAGAACGTTTACACAAACCTGTGAGCTCGCCTCCATACGAGTGACTTCAAGCTGATTTGCCTGAATGTGCTCTCTCTCCATACACCTACCAGTTCGCTTTGTGTAAGGGTTAGTCCTGTAGCTCATACTGTGGCAGCGCCTTGGTTGAGCAGCTGGGACATCAACTTCATCCACCCCTAAGGTGGACATGGAGCCTGCAGATACCAGGCACACATTGGTCTTAACAAGTGGGCCAGTGTGTGAACTGCAGCTGGCTCTCTCTTCACATTTAGCACCCAGCTGTGCATTAAAGTCAGTCTGACTGGAATTGCATGAGCTGGAGAGGGAAGCTTTGGCGGAACACGGAGGCTTTGACTCCTGGTGGTGGAGGCCTTCCATCGGAAGAACAGCTTGCTGGTAGAAACCCTCCATGCTGTGCCCCTGGTCTACGGTGCTTCTGCTCTGGAGCAGGGGCTCAGAGGTGGCCAGCTGCTGCAGACAGAGAATGTTGAGATGGGCAGCTGGTAGACTGCTAACCCACTGGTAGTGTTTGGCCATCGAATTGGCTGCTGCTATTTCTTTAAGGTCAGCTGAAGGCACAGCCGCAGACACGGAGCAGATAACACTGCGCATCTGGGCCAGCAGCATCTGAGTCTCTCTGTCCCTGTTTTCGTACAGGACAGTGTTGGCACATATGAGGATGAAGAGACCCACCCCCATGATGACTGGTCCCAACAGCTTCATCCTCTCACTGTGAATGAGACTGGCTGTGGACAGGAAGCCCTTGGGTCCCAGACTCCAGCCGGAAGTCTGTGATTCAGAGGCGCTTTCCCCATCTGCAGCTCCCAGGATGGACGACCTTGATATCTGATAGGGCCAGTATCCTGCCACAGCCAGAGCAGTGCCAACAACCACCACAACCACGCCAAGCACTAGGAACGCTCCAGGCATGGAGCGGATGCGAAGCTTGCCTCGGATCAACCTCTCCTTCTTCTTTCTACTTCGTAAGGTGAAGCGAGACTTTGGTTGGCAGGCAGGTGAGCTTGGCCTAACTGCTTGAGATTTCTTGGTCTTCATGGCACAGATTAGTCCAGAGCTCTTGGTCTGAGTCACAACCCGTCAGAGTGCTTTAGGAAGGAGGAAATGTAAAGAGTTAATGTCTCTGTTCATTCAAACACATGCAATGGCTGCAACTATGTTCACAGTACAGAGATGTCTGAACTTTTTCATGGTGGCTGAGGTGACAGTGAACACGTTCATTGTGGCTGTCTGAGTGAAGCTCGGTCTGGATCTCCCTGGTGATACTGTTAAACTGCAGCAGACAGTGATACACACCACTAACCCACCTTTGTCACGCTCTCAGTCCTCGGGCTACAAAGGCTAATGCCAAAATTAATGCTAATCTAAACCTTCATGTTATCACTGCACAAGAAAACCAGAGATGGCAGCCTGAGGACAGACACGGGGGCAAATGTTTGAAATGAATAATATTTGAAGAGGCCTTCAAAAATATTTTGTAATGGGAGTATTTTTCAGTTTTAGTATTTACTTATTCATATGTTTAGACCTGCCAGAGCTCACTGTAGTTACTGGCCACCTGACAGTGGGTTTTTCCCCAGAGTTAATCACCAAAACCTTCAAATGTCCACATCTGTGGAGAGCTTGTAAATTAAATGAGGTACAAACAAAAGTACAGAAGCACTCACATATTTGCTGTTCTTCCTAAGTTCCTGTACAGTAATGAACAAAGAAAAGTGAAATGGAAAAGCCAGTCGCAGTGACTGCAGCATGCACCAAAGAGCGTAAAATGTTCCCTTTGTCCTTCTGTGAATGCTTAAGAAGAGTGCCAAATACACAAAGTAATAATGCACTCAGCTCTAAATCTTAAAGACATATGAGGGTGCCTGCTCTTAATCAAGTATAAGAGTGGGTACCTTAACCCATCATTAAGTACGTTATTGCTACAGTTCTGAAACCACTGCACGTCTCGTGTTTGTACTGCAAATTCTTTTTACTTAAGCACTGACCTGCCTATTGTCTGTTGATACGTTTCCTTGGGTTTTTCAACTTTCTTGACCTCTTAAACACGTTAAATATGTTTTATTGTGAATAAAATATGGGTTCATCAGACAACATCCAGCTTTTTGTGGAAAGACTTGTATATAAAACATAAAATAGAGCGAACCAGCTTGTTGTTTACGTTTTACAGAAACATTAATGTCCGACATCAGTCTCAGTGTTCTCATTGAACTTGTTTTATCAGGCAGCTGATTTTATCATAAAAGCTCAGATGAGGCATCTACGATAGACTGACTACCGCCTGCTGGGAAAATGTGAGGAAAGGGTGGATATCAGCAGGACCCAAAACCTTTCTGTTCATGAAGAAGAGCCTGTGTGTATTTAGTAATAAAGAGTACATGCATTAAACACACATTTCTGTGCCCAATGATACTGTCATGTTCAAGTGAACTTCCCAGTGATATTAAATTCTTTAACAACTGTATTATATATTAGATATTATATCAACAATCCCTACAATAGCGTCCTACATGAAAAAGCAATGAATTCATTCATGCAAACAATCAGGAAAGTATTTTATCAGTACAGACGCCTTAATGTGAGATGTAAGCAGGCTGTCAGTGTTAAAGAATCTGACTATGGAAAAAAGTCATGTCACCATTTCATCCGAGGCCACAGACACAGGAAGTCGTGAAGAAGTTAATCATGAGGACGACATTCAGAAGGCAACACAAAAACATCCAGTGCCACGAGTTAGTGGCTGACGTCAGGCCGGGCCTTTGATTTCACACAGGGTAAATATTACACAGTGACTGGTAGATTTCTGTTTATAAGATCAAACATTAAAAGTTTGAACAGATCATTTTCTCTTAATGATCAACTGATGACATCACAGCTATCCCCTGCTCATGTGATAACCAAATGTCGTTAAATCTCCATGTATTAAATAAATGTGCTGACCAGTACACACACACACACACACACACACACATCTGTATTCCCCTCTGCCGTGGGATTAACGCTGCAGTAACAAAAATGAGAGAAGCAGCAGACTGCATTCAGCAGCTGTGGCACAAGTTTGTGTCGGTGAGGGTCTGATATGCTGCATGGTTGCACATGACGGTAAATGCACGCCTGATCCGGATGATGCGCTGAACTCCGATTACCCTGTGGTCATGTAATTACGCAGGAATGACACAGACAGGAGCGCAGCGTCTGCTGGAAAGGACTTTCTCTACAGTGTGGCTCTGGAAGCCCACACTCAGTGTGTCATTGACACAGTCATACGGTGCATCTGCAGTTTACAGCCGGCAGAGGAAGCTGGTCTGGATCAATTCAATTCCCGAGAAGCCACAAGTTGTGATACATGACGAAAATGAACAAATGCGAAAGCGTTCGCTGGTGCACACGGGTGGAACCGTGTCAGTCAAATGCAGCAGCTTGTTGAGCCCGTGGAGCCCAGACGGAGGGAAATGAAGCAGCTGCAATAATGCTGTGGTGAAAATCAGCACAGCATTATCAACTGACTGGGATAAGGCGTCCCTCAACTACGGATAGCCATGCACTGTCGTGCCGTGCCGGACTATCTGCACTGACACTGTACAGACATGGAATGTGTCTGATGACCGAGCTGCTGCATTCCTCTCCGACAACACAGCAGCTCACGGCACCGTTACCGACCCACAGAATGAAAGAGTTCATGTCACCCAGCTGCTCCGACTGCACCACCACAGACACACAATCTCACACTCACACACTCCGACGCTTCTGTGAACTTGCCTGGATTTCGGAGTTCCTGTTGCAGCTCGGTGGTAGTTTGAAGACACCCGACGTCCGCATGACTCCGAATAAGGTTAAGGGCTGAATCGAGCCCAGCCCTAAACCCGTTCCCACATATCCGCAGCAGGGACACCGCGCTGACTCCGTCAACTCCGCCGGACACAAGCCGAGCAGAGCCCAGCCCAGCCGCCTCCATGCACCAGCACCGCGGAGTGAGCAGGAAGCAGCCCTGCTGCGCGCGCGCACGCATGCACGCGGATTTGAAAATAAAGGTGCGCACGGGTGCTTCGTGTGACAGCAGCAGCGTCCCTCAACAAGTAGCGGAGGTGTGAGTCACAGGGAGCCGTTCGGGTGCACCTATAACGCTGCACTAACACTCTCCTCTCTGTGCTGTCCTGGACTCGTGGGCGCGCTCACAGAGGTGCTGGATACTTCAAAGGTTACCATCCAAAAATGAGATGTTACAGATTAAACACCTCAGCACCGAGTTAAGAGCTTCACCAGGTGATGGATTAGATTTTTGGATCAAATGATCTACAGATGAAAGCATAGTCCTGGGACTCTGTAACGCTTTGATAAACTTTTGTAGTCCGAGTCCACATTAGCAGAACATCAGAATGTGGACTAGCTTAAGACCATCAGCTCCACTGCTTGGTAATCCTGCATTTATGTGACAGCACAGTGAAGGGTTATTAGTTAATGCAAGAGGACAGATGGCTCTGAGTATACTTAAGGACTATCAAAGCACGTTTGTGTTTCATGTCTATGCACATAATAAACTTATTGCCGTTAATTACATTTAAAATACATAATGATCCCTGACTGCCGAGGGTCATCATAACTCGTGGGTCGGACCTCACAGGGGAATTTCCTTCGGCTGGCAGCCACAGCTCATTAGCTTCGTCTTTGTTCTCGGCAGGTAGTGTCAGTCAGCTACACGGAGTTTCAGCATGTGCCAATCTTCCACGTCCTGGTGTCTTATTACGCTGTTCTTCTCTTCACACGTGATCTGTTATTGTTCAACACATCTCAGTCTCAACAGAGTTGATATTTTTAGGTGTAGTACTTTTGAGGCCTTCCACATTATTCTTCTTCTCAAACTATTTGTCTGCGAGATTTTTGCAGACAAATCAGGTAAAGATCGTCTTAAACGACAAGCACAGCCATTACTCACCTAATTATCTGTTTAAAAAACTTGGACTCTTTTTTGACCAACATCTGAATTTTGAAACTCAAGTTCAACCAGTCTTGTTTCCATCACTTCAGAAATATCAAAGCTTTGCAGTCACTGTGTGCAGCGTTCACACTTTAATTTTCTCCCGCCTTTCTTTTGTAACTCGCCTTGACGTGGACCTCTCAGTCCTCTGTAGCTCGTCTCCAGCTAGTGCAGAGCGCAGCACCAAGGACACATATCACACCTGTTCTTGCATCCCTTCACTGGCTTCCAGCAAAACCCAGAATCCACCTAAAAATCCTGTTATTAACATACGAGGCTGTACATGGACAGACTTGTGTTTATACAGCAAAGCTCCGAAGATCTTATCACCGCTACTCTGATTTTAAAGCCAGAGGTGATCGTGCTTTTGAGGTTGTGTCACCCAAACTGTCCAACAGTTTGGCTTTCTGTTTATTGTTTCAAACAACTGCTGAAAGCTAACTTTCATATGTTAGCCTTAATCTTTGAAATGAACGTTGAT